AAGACTGGAAATATAAATGTGAAAGCCATCAACATGTAGATGGCACTTAAAGCTTCGGAACTATATAACATTATCCAGAGAGACAATATAAACAGAGAAGACTAGAACCCCTGGTAAGAGCATAGGAGTCTCAGACTCTGTATTTCTAAAATTTCCACACATCTCACTTATCCTGAAATGCAGCCAAATGGAGAGATACTGCTAATAATTTCATTTAAATGGCTCCCATAAGTAAGGGGCTAAAGCAAACAAGGAAAAAAAGGTAAATAAAAAGGGAATAGAAAAACACATCTTGATTTAGCCAAGGGCATTCAAAAAGACATTATATTGTATGTCTAGGACAAAAACACCTGTTTCACGATCTGGATCTACCCATTCCTGGAAAATTTTTCAAAAGTTAAAGAATCTAGATGATTTCTCTGAATTTTGCCAGAGTAGAAAACCCATGGAATATTATTACAGAATAAGGAGCAAGGGACTAGGGAGTCACTGTGTGGTAATATAATTAAAGTAGATATATGTACATGAAATTTTATATATGTTTTTATTCTTCATTTTTTAAAACAAAAATTGAATATTTTTATGTTGGGACTTACATTGTGATATTGAAATTCAACTTTAAAGAAATCTTTAAAAAAGTAAAGGAGAGCTGTAGAAAACTAAAGGGGAAGAGAAAAAACATGAGTGAAATTGAGATCTTTAATTAAAGTGAATGTTTTCAAGTATCCGTATGTCTAGAATATTTATAGACAAAAATGTGCCATTGATTGATCCTATATTTCTATCACCATTATGAATAATAATATTTATAGAGAATATACATATACACTATATGTATATAGTCCTAAAAGAAGTGGTTGAAAAAGAGAAAGTGTTTACCATGTTTTGTCAAATACCAGTATGAGCTCTCCCAAGATTGATAAAAATGAATACTTTTACAGCATACAGATCCCAGAATTGACTGAAGGAGTATTAGCTAATACTTGTTTGACTGCTATGTGTTATCCAATATTATATTTTACATATGTTAAATTTACTTAATCCTTATACTAACCCTTTAAACCATGTACAATTACTATCATTCTACTACAGATAAGAAATCTGATGCACCAAAAAGTTAAGTAATTTTCCCAAGTTCACACAGCTGATAACTGGAAGCACAGGATTTCAGCCCAGAACGTCTGGTTCTGTCTACTTTACACTGTCTCAAATGTCGATCACAACAATTACTATCTTACAGAAGCAGAGTTAAAATTGTTTTATGACTCAGAGATGAGAAACATAACATTTAAACATGTAAATATCATGAGGCAGTCAATTTATGCTTATGTATTTTATTAAAGTAATTCCTGGTGGTACATAATTTTAATTCAAGGGAGCTCTTATAACTTATGAACATAAACAAACACATAAAAATCTTCTGAATACGTACTTACTCCAGAATCTTGGGTTTAAATAGTGACCTCTGAGACACAAACAGAATTAATTGTTATAGGCACTGAAATGTTTGAATTACTTATTATGGTCATCAAGTCAAAGGCACATTAAGACTGAATAAAAAGATAAATCTTATGATCCTCAACTTATTGTTTAGGGCTTTGCAGATTGACTATTTTCTCTTTCACAGATTGCTAGACCTCAGGCATCAGGTAACTATTAGAGGTTATTTAAATGATATCTGCTCCATCCAACAATTTTATTTCCAAGTCAGTATGCATACTATTAATGGTAAGATTATTTTATAAACACATGCTATAACTTGAGTGTTGGAAATGCATATTACTTAGCAGCAATTTTTATTTGTAATATATTCACTAACTAGAGGGAAAAAAAGTCTGAATAAATATCTTTATTTCCCTCTTACAGCTTTCTTTCACATCGAAAAACTTTTGCATGTATTAAATTTCTCCTAGTGAAATATCAAGATATCTTCTAATTCTCCAACTACTTCATTTACAGGCTTTTTCTATGGCAATTTACTGAAGTCAACTGGATATAGTCTTGATGGCTTAGAAAGCCTTTCTCAATGATTTGAGCTTTCAGGAAACATTGAGAAATTTTGTTCTATTCTTATTCTGAATTAATGTTAATGGTTGCTTTTTAATGTTCCTCTAGGGTCAAGACCTATCTTCAGGTTGATTTAAAGTCAGAACAAAGTACTGAGAATTGCTGACAAGTTTCATCCCCTTATCTGACGTCACACATTCAAGAGGAGGAGCCCTACAGAGAATCTATACCTTAACACACATCAGGAAAAGCAGAATTTGCAAGGGCACTGCTGGGAGAACACGAAAGAGCTGCAGCCCTGGAAAGCAAATGCTTAGCTAGAATCTGTTTTCCAGTGTAGGCTCCACATTGGTCAAGAAGCAGAACATCAAGGGAACTCTCTCTGGATCACAGTAATGTTAATCTTTAATATCTCTTGGAAAATAGTGTGCCTGGGTTGGTAAAACAACTTGTGGGAAGTAAAAGAAAGAGACCTTGCACCTATAAGGACTGATTCTTCTGATTTTCTTTCAGGATGCTTACAATAAATAAATATTATAAATCTCTGCAAAGAAATTCTCCTTTTTATCTTCATTACGAAAGATTAATGTATTCTTTATTATAGTGAAGAGAAGGACATGAACCATGTCTCAATGTGTGATTTCAGACATTTTGATCCAGCAGAAATGAAAAATGAAAACATAGATTAAATTGAAAATAAAGAATTAAAATATAACATTTTATTCATTAACACTCTGGAAGTTAGAAAGACTCAGATATTGATCCATTTCTAAATCTCACTATATGCATGAAAAATCACTTGAAGGTTTCCTATGTCAGGATTTTAATAGGTAGAAGGATTTTTTTTCCCTTCCTGAATTAATCTTTGGAGGCTATAGTAATAATGGAAATAGTTAAGAAATTAACAGTGAAGCACTGGCTTTAATTTTTTTAATTTTCAATTTTGTTTTCATATAATTTTGACTGAAACACTGTCTTATTCAGAAGAAGTTAGACACAATTACTCACACCAACCTGTCAAAATAAGTAAGTATTAATTATTCATTCAACCCCCTGCTTAGACATTATAGAGCTCTAGTGGTGTACAACAACTTACAGTACCTTTCAGAGAGTTATTTTTTTCTTTCTAACCAGTTTGGTCAATGGCGGAACCCAGGCTCAAATCATGATTCTTGGGAATCTACTTCTGAGGAAACCACCAAAAGACTCTCAAAACAGCTAAATTACCAGTGTATTCATTTAGTCTTCTAAATCTGTTCACTTCTGAATCTTGGCCATAATATTTCTTCATAATATTCTGGAAATATATTTGAAATGTACAACAAACAAAAAGCACAACTTTTTATACTATATCCATAGAAAGAGAGAGAGAGAGAGGCATCAGTGAGATATTTAACTGTTACTTTTCAATATTTTCTTTTAGTTATTTTTAATGGAAGCTTTCTGGACATTATTTTGGCTTCAAGTATTAAGAAGTTATCTTTTTATACTCAGTGATAGGAAACAATGGAGGTGGACTAGTGATAATCTGTTCAATTGTGAAAAGTTTTGACTGTTCTGATATGCTCTTGCATGTCTAAAGGTACCCTACCTGTATCACACTACTGAATAATAATGAGCTTATTATTCATTTGAATAGAAACTGATGTTTTAAATTATTTTTCACCAAATTAGATAAATCTGTTATTTGTTACTATACAGATTAAACCACAATCTTTTCCATTCATCTGCCACCTTCTGTCATCCTATTCAGGTAAGTACAAAATAGCAGCCTAAGTTTTTATTGAAAAAAAAAGTGCTTACTAACAACTAAGTGATTTTTCATCATTAGTCATAGTATGGCAACTTTTCTTTTATTCAAAAATTAGGTATACACACGTGGAGCTATACATATATATATGAAAAGCTTTAGCTGTTATGGACAAGAGTGAAGAGCAATAGACATCATGTGTCTGCTTTCTTAAATCTCACAGACTTCAGTGCGGGGGGACATGTTAAACATTTCCTACTTGGTGCCTGATTATATCTTCTTACAGTTATTGCAGTCACCAACAATAACTGAGATGCACTATATTCCAAGCATTGTTCTAAGCACTTCACATTTATTACTCATTTAATCTCACCCAACCTCAAGCAATTTTATTGTCCCCATTTTTACAGATGAAAAAACTGAGCCTCAAAGTCTGATGTAACTTGTCTGTGATCATACAGCTAAGTAATTTGCAGAAACATGAGCAAAAGCTCTCTGCCTATGCTGTCATACTCCACACTGTACTAGACCTCCGTAAATCTCTCCATAGATAATACATCAAACAAAAGGAGATTATGAGTTCAGGGAATCTCTCTTAAACATTAAATATTTAAGAGGTAGTCAAAAGAATGAGTAGAATTTGCACAATGAATAGAAGTCCAAAAGAAAAAGAAGATTTCAAAGGGCTTAAGATAGGAAGGAGTTTGACACAAACTGAGAGGTTAGTAGTCGATATGTGTAAAGTAATCTGTGAGAGGAGATTGAGGCCTCGTGTAGGTCCATCCAGGCCACCTCAAAGAATTAGAATATTTCTTAAATGTAATAGAAAGTGACTGACAAGGTTTAAACACATGGATAATGTGATTTTATTTAATCTTGTAACAATGTAAAGGTAAGATTGGATGTAAGGGAAAACGAAAAGAGATGATAATGGTTTGGATCAGGGTAGTCATTATGGAAAGTTTTTAGAGAGGATAGTTAAAATATATCTTTGCATTCAAGTTTACCAGTTTGGGTGATAAGCTAGGTATTGCGGATGAGATAGATAAACATGCCACGGATAAATGCCATATCTCCTGTGTAAAAAACTGGAAGATCAAAGGTGCTATTCACTAAGATATGGAAAAAGAGGAACACTCTTCCTCATTCTGACATTAGTCAAATAAATATATTTTATACATGTGTTCACTGACCAAGTAAAAGAGCAAGTTCACTATATCAAGCCAACGAGAATTATAGAGAATTATAGAATCATATCTATTCCAAACTTCCAAATTTACATGTGAGAAAATTCAGACCTTGAGTTTAAGAGTGAACTTCCCAAGGTCATTTGGATAAAAATATATTAAACTCATCACCATAAATGAACCTACAACAAATACTAGATTATTTGGCTATAATTTTTACTTTTATCCATTAGTTTTTAATTAGTGACATAAATTCTCTGCCTTTGTTTAGTTCTGTATTTCATCAAATTATTTAGTCTTTGTTGACAAATTTCTCCTCCTCCTCTTCCTTCTCCTTTCCTCCACCTCCTCCTGTTCATCCTCATCTTCCTCCACCTCCTCCTCCTGATCTTCTCATTCTAGGATTTGGGCACTAAAGGAGTATGGACCTAAGAAATTATACTTTGCTACAGGGGTTTATTCTGCTTGGCTTCTCTGACCATCCCAAACTGGAGATGGTCCTGTCAGCAGTTGTCACTCTCTTCTACTTAATTACTTTGGCTGGTAACACAGCCATCATTCTCGCATCCCTCCTGGATCCCCATCTCCACACACCAATGTATTTTTTCCTCAGGAATTTATCCTTCCTGGATCTATGTTTCACAACCAGCATCATCCCCCAGATGCTGGTTAACTTGTGGGGACCTGATAAGACCATCAGCTATGTGGGCTGTGTCATTCAGCTCTATGTTTACATGTGGTTTGGCTCCACTGAGTGCCTTCTCCTAGCTGTTATGTCCTATGATCGTTTTACAGCTATTTGTAAGCCCTTGCATTATTTGGTAATCATGAACCCACATTTGTGCTTCAAGATGACTACCATGGTCTGGAGTATCAGTTTGGCCAATTCAGTTGTATTATGTACACTCACCCTGAATTTGCCTAGATGTGGAAACAAGCTTCTGGATCATTTCTTGTGTGAGTTGCCAGCTATGGTCAAGATAGCTTGCATAGACACCACAGCAGTTGAAATGTCTGTTTTTGCTTTAGGCATTGTCATTGTCCTTACACCCCTCATCCTTATTCTTATATCCTATGGTTACATTGCCAAAGCTGTGCTGAGAATGAAGTCAAAAGCAGGCCAACGAAAAGCAGTTAATACCTGTGGATCTCATCTCACTGTGGTGTCCATCTTCTATGGAACTATTATCTACATGTACCTACAACCAGGTAACAGTGCCTCCAAAGACCAGGGCAAGTTCCTCACCCTCTTTTACACCATCATCACTCCAAGTCTCAATCCTCTTATTTACACCTTAAGGAATAAAGACATGAAAGATGCACTGAAGAAGCTGATGAGAGTTGACCACAAATCTACAAAATCGAAGAGGAACTAGAAGTCATAAAAAAAGCATGGATAAGGCAATGAAATGTTTTCTAGTTGTCTTTTATTTTTACTGAGGCAACTAATTCCTAGATCATAGAGATTAATTAAAATAATAATTCTTGTATGCAAAAATTTTGTGGATGCAAATAATATTATAACCATCCTACTTAGCTCTTTTATGCTTCTGATCATTGGCATATCTTCAGGAAAAACAGGTCATAGAAGTTTTTTTTTTTTGCTTATAGTATAACACAAAGGGCATGTAAACAAAAACTTGGATGCACTTAATTTATTCTAAGCCCCATTGAAATTGTTTTGGTTATCTAGTTTTGTATTTTCAGTGCTAATGCTTGGATTTTCAGAAATATAGGCCTGAATGAAAAGTTTTGTATGCATTATGATTTATATATTAAATAATAATATGCTAATGATTCTTTACATTAAACCTCTTGTGATGCCATCCAAACATTTATGTGTTTGGTGCAGACAATGCAATCTATAAGGTAGTAATTGTCATAAGCATTACCTGAAGCAATTCACTTTTTGTTCAATGAAACCTGATAATCAACTTCATGAGTAAAGAGTCTTTGCTTTTTAAGTCTATTACATCTTTATCATGATACAAGGGAGTAAGAAGGCACAAAAAAAAAGGGTTTTAAAGATGATAACACAGTCTTATTCATTTATTATTCATTCATAAAACATTTATTCTACAATTGTCTCATCTCAATGGAAAGAGAGTATGACGAGTTTGGAATTAGGCTTTTGCCACAGATCTATGGAATTGTGGAATTTATGTGATTTTTGAGAAACATAGATTTGTAAATTTTTATGTAGTGAAATTTCATAAGATGAATAAATATTTTTATTTCCATTTATTTTGATACAGTACTTACCTTTTTATGGGAAAATGTGATGATTTTTGAATTAAAATTTTATGTCTTCTAAGATCTGATACCTTTCTCCAAAAGACCCCATTATTTAAAATTGTAATCAATCTAGATGTATAATATTTTCTCCTCTATCATGTCACAATTCTTGAAATGTGAAGAGGAAGGAGTCACTGGATAATTTTTAATTTCCCAGTCAGAACAACACAGTAATGACTCACATAAAATATATTTGATATAGGAAATTGTCAATGTTCTTATTGTCCAAATACTACCTCTTTTAGAGTTCACTTCAAAAACAATTCACTAGCCTACAGAAAAAATTCACCAGTAAGTACATAGAGAGAATATCAGTTATGTGGTCCTGATGTACATAATCTAGCCACCTCACTCATTACTCTTGTATCTGGAAAGTTTGTTCTTACTCTTGGCAAGAATCTGTAACTAATAATGTTAGGAGATAATTTAAGTCATTTGCTAACTTCAGTAATAAGTACACCAAAAATATAATAGTAATGCACTCTTAGGAGAACATTATATTTTACACCTATAATTGTTTGTTCTCCTATGTATCTCTAGTTTTATTTTTTCTTTGGTTTAAGTTTCTTCTGCATTAGGGTTGCAAATTAAACCAACATTTTAAATACTTAACCTCCCTTTTATTTTTCCAAAATAAATGTATATATTCAGACCATTATATTAAAACACAATAAATCCTTAAAATATATTGAGCTTCTGTAAACAAATCAGTACAAGTTTGTCAGTATGACCTCACATTTAAGGAATAATATGTGACTTGAAAAGGTAAGTGTTAAAGTAAGTAATCATCATCATCATCATCATCATCATCATCATCATCATCTCTAATTCTCTTTAGAGAGAGGTTACTTTTCTCACCGAGGCCTCAATCAACATTCATGAGAATTTATCACACTTGCTTTATGAGATGTTCTATGCAAAACTCATGGTAATCACAAAATGTAAATCTAGAGCACAGACATAAGATCTTTAAAAAGAGGAAACTGAGAAAAACAGCATAGAAAACCACTAAACCAAAATGGCAGACAGATATGCAAGAAAGAAGAAATGATGGAGATAGAGAGTAAGCAGAAAATAAAAAATAAAATGGTAGTACTAAGTCCTCATTTATCAATAATCACCCTAAATATAAGTGGATTGAATTCACCAATCAAAAGACACAGAGCATCTGGATGGGTTAAAAAACAGGACCCAAATATATTCTGCCTCCAGGAGACTCACCTCACCTCTAAAGACAAACATAGGCTCAAAGAGAAGTGATGAGAGATGATGCTCCAAGTAAATGGCAGCTGAAAGAAAGCAAGTGTAGCCATACTTATATTAGACAAAACAGATGTCAAGCCAAAAAAAAGGAACAAGAGACAGAGATGGACATTATATGATGATAAAGGGGACAATTTATAAGAGGGCATAATAGTTATTAATATATATGAACCTAACATAGCAACATAAAAATATATAAAGCAATTATTAACAGACCTAAAGGGAAAAACTGACAGGACCACAATAATGGTAGAGGACATTAACATCCCACTTACAGCCATGGAAAGATCATCAGACAGAAAGTCAACAGAGAAACAGCAGCCTTAAATGAAACATTAGACCTGTTGGATTTGATAGATTTATACAGAACATTTGATGCAAATGCAGCATAATACACATTCTTTTCAAGTGTACATGGAACATTCTCAAGGATAGACCATATGCTGGCACATAAGTCTCAATAAATTTAGTAAGACTGAAATCACATCAAGCATCTTTTGCAATCACAGTGGTATAAAACTAGAAACAACTAAAAGAAGAAAGCTGAAAATATCACAAATATATGGAGACTGAAAAACACACTACTAAACAACTACTGGGTCAATAGGAAATCAAAAATATCTGAACACAAGTGAAAATGAAAATATGACATATTAAAATCTCTGGGATACAGCAAAAGCACTATTGAGAGGAAAGTTTATAGCAAGTACACTGTTGTTGAGAATGTAAATTTTTGCAGCCACTATGGAAAACAGTATGGAGATTCCTCAAAAAAATGAGAATAGAAATGTCACATGTTCCAGCTATTCCACTTCTGAGTATTTATCCAGTAATATTAAAACACTAATTTGAAAAGATATAGGCATCCCTCTGTTCACAGCAGCATTGTTTACAATAGCCAAGATACACAAGCAACCTAAACATCCATCGATGGATGAATGGATAAAGATGTGGTGTATACATATATGATGGAATATTACTCAGCCATAAAAAAGAGGAAATCTTGCTAACTCTGTACTCATCTCAAGTTTTTCAGGGACAATGATTATCTACCAAAATAACCTGGGAGTTGAAGCTGACCAAATTGGCTTAGGTCAGTTCAGAACACACATGGACTCCATTTCTCTCATTACATACTATTCTTGTCTTAATTTATTATATCTTGCTTTCTGCCTCTAAAAATGAAGATATGAACTAAAATGCTTAAAAACAAATAACAGAAACTTCTAGTCTGTCAGCTGAAAGATATACACATACACTCCCTTAAAAAAATAAGAAACAAAACAATCATTATTTCAAGTTAACATACTTTATTCCATTTTGAACACAATAAATTCATTGAAAATGGTTAAATATTTCTATAGTTTCAGCAAGGAGAGAATATACAAAATAAATATTTTAAATCTTTAAAAAATAAAATGAAATAAAATAAGATCTATAGCTCTCCTCTCTATCAACAATAAGTAGCAAATAATTAAATAAAATATATCAATAAAGATAAACAGCAAGATGTATAGAATATTTTTATGAAAAAGTACTATTCATCTTTACCAAAGGGGGAAAATCTTTAATAAATTAAGACATGCCACATTCTTCAAAAAGAAATTTTTAAATATAAAGTTAAAAAAATGCAGCTATTTCAGACAATTTCCTATATTTTGTTTGGCTTGTAACAAATTGACTTCAAGATTTATTTGGAAAAATGAGAGCTTAGTAGATCAAGACATTTTTATAAAAAAGAGTAATAAGGAAGGATTTGCTATGCCAGGCACTGAAATGTTATCAAGTAATAATTATTAAAAGCACTGGTTTGCAGATGACTGAAACAAAATGGACATCCCAAAACAAACAGGTGGGCATTTCCAGTTCTGGCAATAGGGAGATAGATCATTTTCACTAACCAAGTAATGGAAAACAGTTCTATATGCAGCTTGTTAACTGAACACAAAGTGGTCAAGAAAGACATTTTCCACAATTTGTAAGCTTTGTTTGGAAACATTACTCCTTCACAATATTGAGTCATAGACGTGAACAATAAAATTTTTGTGATCTATTGTTTCCCCTTTCTGGTTCCTTTGTTACCCTTTTTTAACAGAGATCAAGAAGTGAAGATGATGGACACATCCAAGGCCAGCTCAGGTGGTAACTTCATTTTGCTGGGCTTTTCTGATCAACCCCAACTGCAGCTCAATGTCTCTATGACTGTTTTTGCTCTTCCATATCATGACTCTCCTAAACAACACAGCAACTATTCTGGTGTCTTTTCTGGACAGC